TTTTTTTTTTAAATAAACAAATGTAAAGCAGTTTTTAGAACTGAAAGTAAAGTGGAGATACTTTAAAAAAGCACACTCAGCACCTCATAGGTTCAACTTTCAAGATAATCTCCCATTTCCTTTTTGTGCTGACTGGGTGTCTCTTGTGTCATCATGTGGTAAAGTTTGACTGTTATATGACTGTCCCTGAACTTCTTGTTACAAACTGCAATATTTCATTTCACTCTAGATCTTTGAAGAACTGGACTTTAACCCAACAAAACAACTGTTACTGTGTTTACATTCATTACAAATACAGGCTGCAGTGCATGTGTTGCTCATCCAAGACACAGCAGCAGGAAGTCAAAGTCCTCCAAGACCACAACCTGGACTTTAGTCCACTGGGGTGGGGATATTGCGAAATGTTAAAGTTCACCATTTGGTGCATTTAAGAACCTACAAGGAAAATTAAAACAAACTCGCACATTAACGCAACTCAGCTCGTGTTTAATTGTGGGCATGAAATCTAAAGTGTTTTAAATTAGATTGTAAGAATAAGGTTGTAATCAATTTTTGCAGAGTTACATAAAAAATGTTTAGGGCAATAATAAATGTCTTCAAAACGTAGCTAGCTCGCGCGCTCGGCTAACAAAGAAAATGGCGATAAAAAAAAACAAACAGTCGAAACAAATACTGTTCTATATTTTACACAACTTAAAGTTAATATGGTTATTTTGTTACAATAAACGAGAGAAATTAACTCACTGTGCAGCAGCAGCCATGGTGTTGAAAACAATTTGGAGACAGTCAGACTATCACGTGTCGACATTTGTCACGTGACTTTCCTACGGCATGACAACAGATCAGCTGACGTAGCGTTGTGCTGCATTCATGTCTTCAGGACATTCCAGCTACCTTTCAATTACGAGGTTCTTCTTACGTCCACAGGCACTACATTCATTAAACAACGTCTATTGTGAACACGAAACAACAAACAATAACAAGCCAAGTCCAAACAAACTTCCACCTACAAATATATTTCATAATTGTTGCTATAACGTGCATTCCCAATGTGGTCATCAGTGAGATTCATCTTTACTTACAAATGCGTCATTACCATTAACTTTTTTACAGTTCCTAATGCGCATGATCAAAGCCAGCGTTTTGCGACGCTTTCGAAATCTAAAAAGTTAAGTCTGGTCCTCTGGACATTCAAAAAACAAACAAACAAACAAACAAACAAAAAAGTAGAAACGTTTCGTCTTTCATCCGAAAGACTTATTTAGTCTGAGGTGCTGTATTCAGCTCAGTTTTATAAATAGCACCTTCTCAGAGTGGATCAACCAGTTTGCTGCTGACAACCAAAACCAGCTGCTCACATGATCAAGGAGGACCATCATCAGCCTAACAATGGATCATTAGCACACTGATGGCTGTTTGCTATTCACAGGGGGCTGAGTGATACTAGCAATAACAGCATTGTAAGAGGGGGACAATGCTGTTATTGCTAGAATAAAGGACAAAAATAACAGAGTACTTTTTTGATCTTCTTTCGGCCGCTCCCTTCGTTAGGGCGCCACATCGAAATAACTTGGAGGAAGACTTGACAATTGTTTTTACACCTTCTGCCCTTCAACCACAAAGCTACCACAGCCCTCTGTGTGGAGCAGAGTTGACATCTAGGGTGCCTGGGGAATCAGATGGGGGGCTGAGGGCTTTGCTCAAGGGCCCAGAGTGGGAGAAATGAGGGTGGAGGTACGGGTGGGTGCTTCACCTTTTCCACCCACATTTTGATGTTGGTGGGGGAGTCAAACCAGTTACCTTCTGATCACAGGCCTTCTTCACCACCAGTCCCCCATATATTTGTCTAATACCATAATCCAAAGTGTCTCGTCACACCCTTATTCATAAACTCAGGCTTTATCTTTTAGAGAGTGTACATGATGTGGTGAGAGTTCAGGGTTTACGTGTTCGTAACAAAATAAAAGAATAACTAAGCAGAAATAGCTAGGAAACTATTTGGGGGAGGTGCCTGCCCGATTTTGCACATGCGTGTTAGTTACTATAAAAAGGTAAATTTACAGAAGAATAACTGTCAAAATAAGTAAACACGTTATTTGCTAGTTTTGGTTCCTATAGGACAGACAGAGAATGAAAAAAATGTAGCAAAAATACTGTACATCACAGTTTAATGTATCTTAAGATCTAAATTTAAAGGAAATAGAAAAGAGCACATACATTTCTAGTACTGTACAGTCAATCACTTAGTTTTGATTTAACTCAATGTGCATTAATTTGACAAGGGAAAACAACAGTAGGGGGAGATCCAACTCCTTTATAAAACAACGCTGGATAGTTGACAAATAATTAATGTATGGGTGACTGCAGATACACGATGCAGAGCCCTCTGAGTAATATAAAAGAAACATCCAGGCATAAATGACAGACTGACAAGAGGGTTGGAGCAGCCGCCATGAAACATACTGACTGAAGAAGTCTTTTGGACGAAACATTTCATCAAATAATATAGAACATACTGTAGTTTCTCTGTGATGAAAGACAGATTTCTGATAACATGTTGTATGACAAGACATCATATATAATTTCCTTATATGTCTTTAAAAAGTAAAGTATTTTCTTACACATAAAACCTTATTTAAATGAAATAAAATTTTATCTGTATTATTACTAATAGTGATTTTAATTTGGGTAAACACCACATAACATATATATTTATTTAAATTTATTCAAGGGGAACCCATTTTTCCAAAGAATTATGTTACGGGTAAAATAAGCAGTATTTACCTCAGTTAATTTTTGTATTTTTGATAGAATAAATTAGACTTGAGAAAATGCCCATCACCTATGTATTATGAAATTCTTTATCAAAAGGGCTCGTGAAAGGTCGGCACAGATATTCAGACAAGATGGAAAAAATTAAACACAGAGGGCATTACTGCTAGGAATAATAAGTGTCATTTATTAACCTGCCACAGAAAACAGCCAAGCAGAAAACATGTACACTCGTACACTCTTAACACACAAATTGATATGAGAGAACTTCTCACCGTGACACTGGCCGGGAAGTCGTTTTCGACCCAGGTAAAGAAGAATCACATCAAAATTGCGCATGGCACCAGCGCGCGCTGGTCCACACAAGACTTCCGACTCTCTGTGTTTGATACATTTCTTATATACCTTTCCCTGACCGGATCACGTGAGAGCAGTGGAAAACAAGTTTGATGGTTGCCAGGAAAAACAGATTTAATTAAATTTGTTTTCCCATCATCAAAGCAGTCTGTGCAACAGAGCGATGGCTTCATAAAAACATGTCCTTCAAAACCTGGGTCACTGTAACCTTAAGATTAGTCCAGATCTTCTGGTTAGAGCATCCCCCAGAGAACTTTAATTACTCCAAAACACATCTGCAGCACAGGCCTGACTTTAAGCAGAAAAGCTGCATCAAAAGTGAGTATAAGTATTAATTGACATAAAAGCATCAAAATAATCATTCCTATATCAACCTATAAGTAAACTTAATTTTTTATCTTTACGTCACATGAAGCACTTTGTGCCTTCCTCAGCTCTTATTTGCTGCAGCAGCTTTAATATGTTGTGTTCTCTGATCATCTCACAACCAGGCACATCAAAAACACCTCTACATCTTTGACCTTTTAAAATTAGCATAACTCTTCTACAAGGTGTGCATAAAAGTGGGGCGCACTGTCCATTTGCATTCCATATTTGAGTCTCTGTGCGATAACATTAGAATTTCTCAGTTCGGGTCCAAGAATTTAGGACAAATTCCATAACACTTTTTAATGCTAGGCTTATTAGCAACAATTTAAAATGCATGATTAAATATATGAACGTGGGTTTAAAGCAAAGAGCTTAACAAAGTTCAGACCAATCCTGTTTATTTGGAGTAACCTGCTTGTTGTTTTCTCTGGCTTCTGATTTTAGAACAATAATCTGCTTTGCACTTGATAAATACAAGCTCTGTGGATTTGATTATTGAGCTTTATACACACAAACCTCAACATGCAGCTGATTCTCATCTGTACAAAAGCTGGGTAAAAACAGACAATAGGAAACTGTTGCTCCCTCAGCAGGGGTCTCTTTGAGGTAGAACTGTGCTGATTAGAAGCTCCTAAGATGAGATGTTGACTAATTACTACAACCCCTCCACTACAACATAACATTAAACCAAATTTGTTTTGTCAAAGTCTGACACGTGAAAACAGCATGAATCAAATTAAATCCATCCACAGAGTTCCAGGAATCTAATAATTTTAGTCTACAAGTCTGTTTTAGAGACATACTGTAAAAACTTAATGATTCTTACTTTTCTGCAGCAGAAATTGTAGTTTTAGCACTTAAACATGAGAACAATGTTTTTTGTTTGTTTGTTTGTTTGTTTGCTTGTTTGTTTCTGGGTGGCATTAACTTAGCCTGCAGTTGTAATATTCTTATTTTATGGTTAAATTATATAACTCTCACATATAAAGTTATCAGGATTGTTTTCCTTCACCTGTACAATAAAGTAGAAGTAGAAGTAGAAGTCACAGTAAAACACAAAGTGTCATTTAAAGACCTATAGATTACCGTAATTTAACTCTGTTTCAGATAATATTTGGTCCCACTCAAAATTAATGTAAAATTTACTCTATAGCCAGTATCAGTATATTTCTCCAGGTTTAGCTTCTCTCCACTGGCTCCTTTTCAAATTAAGAATACAATTTTAAATCCTAAACAACCAAGCTCCATCTTATAATAGAGATCTCTCACGCAGACGGCAGGTTTACTTGTGGTTCATAGAGCCTGTAAAGTAGAAAAGGAGGCAGATGTTTCAGTTATCAAGCTCTTCTTGTGGAACAGTTTCAGGATATTATCTTTGAGGCTAATACGTTGCTTATTTTGAAGATTGTAGGTTGTCTTGTGTTTCCAGAGCTATCCATTGAGTCTGGAGGACAAATTGAACAGGTTTCCTAACTCTGCTGCCTCTACTCTCTGCTCTCCATATTCCATATACATGTATATATTTACAGCTATTGATGCCATTAATTGTGCTGTTCTGTTTCTTTGTCATAGATATTTTGTCTGGCCCAACACTTCTGTTTACCTCTAGTCTTCTCAGTCCTCCCTGTTGATAGAAGGATGCCCATCTCTAGCCTGGGTCAGATGGAGGTTTCTTTAGAGATAAATGGGTGGGGGGTTATTTTCCACTGATGCCTTCGAGTTGTTCAGGATGAGGCTTTGACGAAAGGGAAGATTCAACATAATCTGATGGTTTCCTAAATTCCTAGGGGTGACTTTTGTCGTCGTCTTGCCACCAAGAACAAAAGAATTGACTTTATGTACAAAAATAAAAATACACAAACAATAAATAAATAAAAAGAATAAACATTGAATTAATTTATTTTACTTAACAATTAAAGTTGTAGCCAAATTTTTATATAGTAATTTTCTATGGTGTTTACCGAAACTTGCTGTTACTGTTCCTTTATTTTATTTGTATCTCCCCTTTTTGAATGCAATATTTTCACATGGAAGTTTGAGACCCAAGTCTTGTTTTTACTGTATGATTAATAATTTCTTCTTCTTCTTTTGGATTTTCCCTCCACACCAAGTCATCCTCCTCCATCTCACTCTGTCCTCTGCATCCTCTGCCCTCACTCCAACTACCTCCATGACCTCTCTATCTGCATCCATATATCTCCTCTTTGACCTTCTTCTGTGTCTTTTTCCTGGCAGCTGCATTTCTAACATCCTTCTACCAATATACCCACTGTCCTTCCTCTTGACATGTCCAAACCATCTCAGTCTGGCCTCTCTAACTTGT